GACCATAAGGAAGGCTGAGCAAAGGAAGATTGATGCTTTTGAACTGCAGTGTTGAACTGCAGAAGAAAAGTCTGAGAGTGCCTTGGACCGCGAGAAGATCCAATCAGTTCATACTTCAGGAAATAAAGCACAACTACTCATTGGAGTTGAAGTACTTTGGCCACATAATGAGAAGACAGGAAAGCTTAGAGAAGACAATGATGCTGGAGAAAATGCAAGGAAAAAGGAAGAGGGAGCGATCAAGGGCATGATGGATGGATGGTATCCTTGAAGTGACTGGCTTGACTCTGAAGAAGCTGGGGGTGGTGATGGCTGATAGGGAGCTTTGGTGTGGGCTGGTCCATGAGGTCACGAAGAGTCGGAAGCGACTGAATGAATAAATAACAAAACAAACCTTAGTGTTCCTTTAATATTTTAATTGTTTGCTTGCAATCAGCTTCTGTTATTATACCAGCTCCGTTCCGTTAGAGGTAGAGGATCTAAAGGTGGTTGTGCATATACTGGTAACTTCTATGCAGGTCTTCTTCAATGTGTGCACATTGATTAGGAAAACTGTAGCAAGTGCAGACATTTCAGTAGATTCAAAATATGGTTGGTACATACTATATCAATATTAAAATCACTCCACTGGCTGCTAATTGGTTTCCAGACAAATACAAAGTGTTGGTTGTCACCAAGCTCTTCCTTCAGGCCTCTGTATTTTGGGTTTAGGTTATCTTTGGGACCACTTTCTCCCATATTGGCAATCATCTTTGAGAGTTCTTGGAGAACGGGAGAAGTTCCAGCAGATTGGAGGAGGGCCAATGTGGTCCCAACCTTCAAGAAGGGAAAAAAGGATGACCCAAACAACTACCGTCCGGTCAGCCTCACGTCGATACCAGGCAAGATTCTGGAAAAGATTGTTAAGGAAGTGGTCTGCAAACACTTAGAAACAAATGCGGTCATCGCTAATACTCAACATGGATTTATCAAAAACAAGTCATGCCAGACTAATCTGATCTCTTTTTTCGATAGAGTTACAAGCTGGATAGATGCAGGGAACGCCGTGGATGTGGCGTACCTGGATTTCAGTAAAGCCTTCGACAAGGTCCCCCATGACCTTCTGGCAAACAAACTAGTCCAATGTGGGCTAGGCAAAACTACGGTTAGGTGGAGCTGTAATTGGTTAAATGGATGAACCCAGAGGGTGCTCACCAATGCTTCCTCTTCAGCCTGGAAAAAAGTGACAAGTGGAGTGCCGCAGGGTTCCGTCCTGGGCCCGGTCCTGTTCAACATCTATGGTATGATATTCTATGGTAGAAGGCATGATCATCAAGTTTGCAGATGACACCAAATTTGGAGGGATAGTCAATACTCCAGAGGACAGGAGCAAAATTCAAAACGATCTTGACAGATTAGAGAGATGGGCCAAAACTAACAAAATGAAGTTCAACAGGACAAATGCAAGATACTCCACTTTGGCAGGAAAAACGAAATGCAAAGATACAGAATGGGGGATGCCTGGCTCGAGAGCAGTACCTGTGAAAAAGATCTTGGAGTCCTCGTGGACAACAAGTTAAACATGAGCCAACAATGTGATGTGGCGGCAAAAAAAGCCAATGGGATTTTGGCCTGCATCAATAGGAGCATAGTGTCAAGATCTAGGGAAGTAATGCTACCCCTCTATTCTGTTTGGTTAGACCACATCTGGAATATTGTGTCCAATTCTGGGCACCACAATTCAAGACAGATATTGACAAGCTGGAATGTGTCCAGAGGAGGGCGACTAAAATGATCAAGGGTCTGGAGAACAAGCCCTATGAGGAGCGGCTTAAGGAGCTGGGCATGTTTAGCCTGAAGAAGAGAAGGCTGAGAGGAGACATGATAGCCATGTATAAATACGTGAGAGGAAGTCACAGGGAGGAGGGAGCAAGCTTGTTTTCTGCTTCCCTGGAGACTAGGACGAACAATGGCTTCAAACTACAAGAAAGGAGATTCCATCTGAACACGAGGAAGAACTTCCTGACTGTGAGAGCCGTTCAGCAGTGGAACTCTCTGCCCCGGAGTGTGGTGGAGGCTCCTTCTTTGGAAGCTTTTAAACAGAGGCTGGATGGCCATCTGTCAGGGGTGATTTAAATGCAATATTCCTGCTTCTTGGCAGGAACTGGATGGCCCATGAGGTCTCTTCCAACTCTTTGATTCTATGATATAATCTATCCCATACAGTCATGTTTTTTGAGAAGCATTTACTTCAGCAAGCTGAAATAAGGCTGGCAATTGTGATCCATTCTCTATAAAATGACCTCACTGATGGGAATTCATCTGGTAGACAGACTGCCTGAATTCATAATGACACTGATGATCAGGGTCTTCCGGCAGATCTGTTTACATATAAAGTAAGGGAATCCAACTAACCAGTTTACATTTCCATGTACATCAGTGAAACCTATGCTTACACCAATAGCACCATTGACACGGGGACTGCTTCAATAGAAAAATCAGTTCCTCTTCTACCAATATACTCCTCTACATGGAATTCTGGATGATCTATTGCTACTAGGCAATTTATTTAATATGTTAAGCATTTGTCATCTGCAGTGACTCTGCTACCACCTTCTGCTTAGAGTGAACATGAGATAGATCTTGTTAAGGTCTATGAGAAGGGGCATTTGGGATCCCAGTGATACCAAGTCAAAGTTGATATCTGGTTTCTATTGTTGTTGTTCTTTACAGTATTGGAGTGTTCCCATTACAGTTGGAAAGGGAGTGGTGCTTTCACACTAGTAGGGCAGGACCAAAGATATGCATAATGGTAGGATGCTCAAAATGGATGTGGCAGGCAGTTGAAGAAATGCCAGAAAGCAAGCACTGACTAAGGATATGATTAATTCTGTGGTTATAGTTGAAGGCTAGATATGTAATCACCATTCAATTTTTGTGCTATAATCATGCCAATATATTTGTATATACTTTGAAGTATCCAATATGTCAAATAAATGGAATTTGTGGGTCTTAAGCATAGAATATGGGAATAATGTCCAAGAAATGTAGAGAATTTGGTAAGTATTTTCCATCTTCAGAGTTTGAATTTGACTGGATCCATTGATCCGTCCATACATCTATTACTTGCATGCTTTCATAAAATTGTCTTTTCCCCACAATGATTCAGTTATATTAATCTGTCCAGAAATGAACCTTTTCCAAGTACTGCTAGTCAGCTGGGAACAGAAAAGGAAATTTATCATAATGTTATATTTCCTTCCAGAATCATTCTGCTCTATGGTGGTGAGCACTTTTTCTCACATAGATATCTGCACAGATAAGCAGATATTATGTTAAGGGTGAACAATGTCTGGCTCTCCATGTCTGCTTGGGTTAATCCCATTTGCTATGTTAGCTCAGACTGATAGGATCTGCAGTCCAGCATTTAGAGGGATACACATTCATTGTGGTTTTATATTGATTTACATTATTGGTCATCCAGCAGTGGTTTCAAAGACTATATACCATATATACTTGAGTATAAACTGTGTTTTTCAGCCCCCTTTTTTAGGCTGAAAAAGCCTCCCTCGACTTATACTCGAGTCAAGGTTATTTATTTTTTACTCTATTATTATTATTATTATTATTACATTTATTGTTATTATTATTATATTTTGTATTTTACTCTTATTATTATTAAATTTACATCATTTTATTCTATTATTATTCATATTATTATATTTCTTATTTTACTTTATTATTGTTATTACATTTATTATTTTACTCTATTGTTGTTATTATTACATTTCTTATTTTACTCTTATTATTACTGCTCAGCTTTTCCCTCCTAGTCAGAGTGCCCGAAACTTTCCTGATTCTCAGAGTTTCCGATTAGAAAAGAACATAGATTCCTTCATTGTTGAGTTTCTCAGCGGAATTGCTTTCCCTATCTCCTCCTTATTTGTGTCCCATTTTCTTGGATTGTGGAAGCTGGGAAGTGTAACTTGGATCCCCTTCTAGGTTTTCACTCCATCTTGCTGTCTTTCAAGATATTCACAAACTGAACATTGTGCTATGTTGTCAACAACCCTTATAACATTTTTTTTGCCAGGAACAGAGTCCTGCACAAACATCTTCTGCCATGTGGCATTTAACATGTTTGCTTGCCAGTACTTTTGCCTGTTTCCTTGGTTATTAAGTGTTTTCTTCCAAGCAGTACATTCCCTAATCATTTTAAGACTTTTGCTTCAAAAAAAATCTTAATGTGTGAGAAACTTTGTGAACCAAGGTTTTATAGAAGACCATTCTTCCTGAACTACACCTGTTAAGATTTCTTAATTCTGGAATAGCAAATATGTTACTTATTAAAGATACAATTGCATTTATTGAGGACACTTTATATTCATTTCTTTTATTTTATGCAGAATGCCTCCCACATTTATTAGGCTTAGGGTCATAGCACTTCTGTGGAAGTGACAAATCTGAGAAACTGCTATTTTCTTGAGAGAACATCTCTCTAGGAATTCCTTTGTCTTCCAGTTTAAAACTGACTATAGTATTGCTGTGGAGAAACCAGAACTTCTTAGAGATGTGTTCTCTCTAGAAATCACTGGGTTTTTCAACGTGACTAGAAGATGTAGAATCAAATTGGAGGATCTACAGATTCCTAGAGAGAGAACATTTTTAGTCAAATGTATGAATAATCAAAAAGTTAAAATCATAAATGTGAAAGGATGACCACAAGTCTTTATGGGGTTTAGAGCGCTCTATGCAGAGAATGTAAGAATCCAATCTACGAATAATCCTCAAAGGTAAAACCATAAATGTGAAGGAATGACCACATAGTCTTTATGGGATCTAGAATGCTGTATACAGAGAATTTAAGAATCCAGACTGGATTCTTACCTAGCTCAAAGAGGAGCAGCGCAAAGCAGCTGCATGAGAGAACACCAAAGGTTTGCTGAAGTAGGAATAAATATATTGCAAATCCCACAGTTCATTCAAACAAACAATATTTTTCCCATTTTTAATTGGAACAGTCTTACTCCACGTCTGCCAAAAGCTGGAGAGACCATACACGGACATAAGTTTTTCACTGGTTTTGGGGGGAAAGGTGCCAACCAGTGTGTGCAGGCTGCTCGACTTGGAGCTAAAACCTCAATGATCTGTAAGGTAAGCTCAGATTTATATATTCTGGTTACACATCTGTTCCAAATACTTTAGAAAACTATACTTACATATGTTTTAAGAACCAACAACAAAACCAAACTAATAGCAAAAGATTGAGGTCAGCATTCTAGATATGCACCTTCAGCTGCCTCCTAAGAAGCTGAGCAAAAAGGGTGGTCTTTTCCTCTTCTAAAAGCAACAGTAGGATGAATGTGGCACATTTCTCTGAAGTGCAATCCTTATAGAATGGGTGCCACCACTGCAAAATGGTCTTTTTAAAAAACATATGAGATGGTGACATCTGCAAAGCCAAATTATGCATTAATAGCTGTTGCAAAGTGAATGGCCTCCAAGGTATACTCCAGATTCTAACCATTGAAGATCAGTTAGTTGAAGTGAGACTTCTTCACAATACACAGTTATAGTACAGTGATTCCACTTTAACTGATTGGCATCATACAAAATACAGGGATTTGTGGATGCCTGCGGATATTTAGAATTCTCACTAGAGTGTACTTTTGACTCGCCAAACTACAAACTCTAGGGTTCTGCCATGGCAATTAAACTGGAAACTTGGGAGTCTGGAAGCTAAGTGGTGAGATGTACAACAGTATTTCTGTGCTGAGCTAGTATCCAGGTCCAGCTGAAGATTCCAGATTTGTATACCATTAGTCAAATGATACTCAAGCTACCAAAGTCTTCCAGGTGATAACTAAGGTCATATTTCCCAGAAAGGAAATACAAAACTGTCAATAAGACCTTTTTTGGCCTTTGGAGCAAATGTAGACAGGAAACATGGAGTGCAGGCTTTTATATTTTTTATGTATTTTAGTTGTTTAGATTGTATCATGGTTTTAACATTCTTGATAGATTTATTATGCTTATTTAATATGTATTTAATATATTTTTTAATTTATTGAGTTGTTATTATAAGTTCCTATTGAAGTTGTCTTATGTATTGTCTGATTTTGCTTGTTTGCATTATTTTATGGCATTGAATGTTTGCCACCTTTGTTTGGAAACTGCCCTGAGTCCCTTAACATGAGCATTTACAGCAATGTGGTGCCTTCCTATTTCCAAATTTAATAGCTGTCTGATTTTTATTTGATCTACTAGGTTTTGCTGGCTATTACAGTTTCAAAATGTACAAGACCTGAATGAGAGTCACATCCTCTCAACTTAGGAGGTGCTACATGTGCTGTGTGTAGTTTTATAGTTCAACATTACCACTAAAAGCAACTGGGAGTTACCCAAATAGCCATGTCATTCAATTTTCTACCCACTGTACAGTTTTCCTCTATCTGCTCCAATTTCCTCCTCTTCTGAGAAATTATCTAAAGCAATATTATTCTTTTATTTAAATTATGAGTAAATAACTCTAAGTTTTTGGCCCAGATCTGTTTCTGCTAAGACTTCATTTGATCCTCTGGGATTGCACAGATAGCCTCACTACTCCATCATTTGGTGTTTTCCCACTCATTGTAGAGGGTTTTCCTGCAGTTCTAAAATGTTGAACCTCTTTTCTAAAAGCTTAGTTACTGGCATTATGAGCTTCAGTCTAAAATATGTTGGCTTTTTTTTTCCTTTTCATCTTAGCCTTTTGCTTCATCCACACCCATCACTGGAATGTGGTTCCCAAGAAGCATTCTGAAACTGAATTCAGGCCTTGGGCAGACAAATGATCTCCACCCTTGCTTTAAATGGTAATTTGAGTGTATCTGTAACAGTGATACAATTTAAAAGCTGAATATTGACAAACTGAATTCAAGTTTCCATCATAATTGAAGAAAAATGCTGTGTTACTTGCAAAATAAAAAGAATAAACGTATTTTGTTGCCCCCAAATTAACTATAGACATTAGTTATGCATAAAATATGGTGTATGTGAAAAGCTTGGAATAATTTATATTTCATTTACAAGTACTAAAATTATTTTGTATTAATTGGTATAGATAGAAGCAGAAATCATGCTTCTAGGATTTATCTTTCTTGTTCACCCCTAGATCTATCAATGGACGTTTACGGCTGTGGGCAAAATATACTTAGTAGATTTGAAGGAACCTCTTGCCTCTGAACCAACAGGAGGTGGAGGCAAAACGACATGGTCTCATAACAGTCTCCCAAAATTTCCCTTCAGTCTCTAAACTTTTAGCACTATAGTAATTTAACATTTTAGTCCAGCATTTATAAATACAGTTTAGATATCCAAAGAGAAGATGCAAGCAAAGCTATCAAGGGAATGTGAGCACAATAAAGCTAAGGGTTCTCGGTGTGGACAGTTTTTGGTCTTACATTCTACAATGCTGGAAATTTGAGGATGATAATAAAATTTTATGGCGGATGAAGAAGCAGCGCTTGCAGACATGACTAAAACCCGTGTTGAAGTGGGTTAAAGTAACCCGCTTCAGCACGGGTTCTAGTCCCCACTCCCCAACCCAAACCCAAGGTTTCAGGGGGTGGGGGCTACATGGCATCCTGAGTCAAATCGGGATGACATGAAGCCACCCCAAAGCTGCCAATTTACTCCCTAAAACTTACTTTAAAAGGTCCCTGGCAGCACGAAGTCTCTCACCCTCCTGGCATAAGAAAATGACGCCTGAGAAGATGAGAGGGGTGAGGAGGAAAACCCCCTCTCTCCTCACACATAATTTTCTCGCGTCATTTTCGCACGCCAGGAGGATTCAAGGAAAGACTTCATGGCTTCCAGGGGGTAAATCAGGGGCAGGGATGGGAGCCCTCCCGCATATTTGGGCTCCAGGAGCCCAAAGGTGTGGGGTGGCTATGGGGACTGGGACTCACCCCCAGTATTACGGAACACAACCCCAGAAGTTAGTCCCCACAGGCCCAGTACCTCATTAGACCTGGGCCTTTCAGGAAGGCCTAGATCTAATGAGATACTTAATAAATACAGAATTATTTATTTATTTTGAGCTTTTGTTATTATTTATGATAATAAATAAATAAATAAATAAATACAGAATAGGTAGGTTCTTGTGGGTTTTTTCGGGCTATAGAGCCATGTTCTAGAGGCATTTCTCCTGACGTTTCGCCTGCATCTATGGCAAGCATCCTCAGAGGTAGTGAGGTCTGTTGGAATTAGGACAATGGTTATATATCTGTGGAATGGCTGGGGTGGGGCAAAGAGCTCTTCTCTGCTGGAGCTAGGTGTGAATGTTTCAACTGACCACCTTCATTAGCATTTGAAGGCCTGGCTGAGCCTGGGAAAATCTTTTGTTGAGAAGTGTTAAGATGTGCCTGGTTGTTTCCTCTCTGCTGTTTTGCTGTTGTAATTTTAGAGTTTTTTAATACTGGTAGCCAGATTTTGTTCATTTTCATGGTCTCTTCCTTTCTGTTGAAATTGTCCACATGCTTGTGGATTTCAATGGCTTCTCTGTGTAGTCTGACATGGTGGTTGTTGGAGTGGTCCAGCATTTCTGTGTTCTCAAATAATATGCTGTGTCCAGATTGGTTCATCAGGTGCTTTGCTATGGCTGACTTCTCTGGTTGAAGTAGTCTGCAGTGCCTTTCATGTTCCTTGATTCGTGTTTGGGCAATGCTGCGTTTGGTGGTCCCTATGTAGACTTGTCCACAGCTGCATGGTATACGGTAGACTCCTGCAGAGGTGAGAGGATCCCTCTTGTCCTTTGCTGAACGTAGCATTTGTTGGATTTTCTTAGTGGGTCTGTAGAGAGTTTGTAGGTTGCGTTTTTTCATCAGCTTCCCTATGCGGTCAGTGGTTCCCTTGATGTATGGCAGGAACACTTTTCCTCTGGGTGGATCTTTGTCTTTACTCTCGTGGCTTGTTCTTGGTCTTGCAGCTCTTCTGATGTCTGAGGTGGAGTATCCATTGGCCTGGAGAGCCCAGTTGAGGTGGTTCAGTTCATCTTGGAGGAGGTGGGGTTCGCAGATTCTTTTTGCACGGTCTGCCAAGGCTTTAATGGTGCTTCTTTTTTGACTTGGGTGATGGTTAGAGTTTTTATGTAGATATCTATCTGTGTGTGTGGGTTTTCTGTAAACGGTGTGACCCAATTGTTGATCTGGTTTGCGGATGACTAGGACATCTAGAAAAGGCAGTCTTCCTTCCTTTTCTTTTCCATGGTGAACTGGATGTTTGGGTGGATGCTGTTAAGATGGTCCAGGAACCTGTTGAGTTCTTCTTCTCCATGGCTCCAAATGGTGAAGGTGTCATCCACATATCTGAACCATATCGTGGGCTTTTTGGTTGCTGTCTCCAGGGCTTGTTTTTCAAAGTGTTCCATGTAGAAGTTAGCTATGACCGGGCTGAGAGGGCTCCCCATAGCTACTCCATCTTTCTGTTCGTAGAATTCATTGTCCCACTGAAAGTAACTGGTGGTGAGGCAATGGTGAAACAGAGCCGTGATGTCTTCTGGGAACCTCTGGTTGATGAGTGCCATGGTGTCTGCTACCGGGACCATGGTAAATAGAGGTACCACATCGAAGCTGATCAGTTTGTCGTTTGTATTTAGCTTGAGATTGCTGATTTTTTCTATGAAATGGGCTGAGTCCTTGATGTAGTGTGTAGTGAGCCCAATATGGCTTTGTAACTGTGCAGCAAGAAATTTTGCTAGGTCGTATGTGGGGGATCCAATGGCACTCACGATGGGTCTGAGTGGGGTGGAGTCCTTATGGATTTTTGGGAGTCCATAAAGCCTGGGTGGGTGGGCTTCCGATTTACATAGCTGTTGTCGTATGTCATAGTTTATTGAGGAGTTCTTAATCAGAATAAACCAGGGGAAATACAGAAATACAGAATAAACCAGGGGAAACCTTAGCTTACTGCATATTCATTCGCTTTTACCGGAGACATCATTTGGACGCCTCCAGAAAAAACCAAGACAGGTCCAGCATTTTGGGCCATCTGGATGGGCCCAAGGAACTTGTATTTGGAAGGCAATGCTGTCATTTAGCCCTCTCCTCTAGTCTACTGCTACAACTTAGCTCAAACCTACAATTTGTTTTTCGGCTCAGAACTGAGCAGACGTTTTCACTCTGAAATCTACTCACACTTTTCAGGCTCAACACTGAATGCTTTCTTAATTTCAGCAATCCAATTTTCAGGGGCAGAGGGAAGCTGACAGCGAAAGATCTAAAGTTGTTAATCTTTGTTTCATAGGTTGGGAAAGATTCCTTTGGTAATGATTATATTGAAAACTTCAAGAAAAATGGGATCCCTACAGGTAGATGTTTTACATTTTAACTGTATTCTCATCGTTTGTTGTAAAATGCCTTTCCCTTAGAGAATGCAGTAACTTCTTAGCTTCAAGAAGGTAGATGAATTGTTTAGCCCAGTATTATCAGTATCAGCGACAGGAAACTATGTTCTTAGGCTATATCTCATATCATCACTCCCCTAGATGCCATTGGACCACAGCCCCCATTACCTCTCTCAACTGATTGATGCAGTGTTAAAATCAAGCAACAGTGGGCAAACATAATATACTTGGTTCACTTCAACTAGCAATGTTTTGAAAGATTCTTTCTGGGCCCTTCCAGACAGGCCCAAAAATGTGGGGACTGTTGTGCTTTTACTGGAGGTATTCAAACGACACCTCCATTAAAAGAGAATTAATTCAGAACAAAGTAGTGTTTGTTTCTGCATTAATGAAATACCTGGTAAGACCTGGATCTTTGGTAAGATCCAGCCCTTACCAGGTGTGGGCCTTGTATGGCTTGGGCCTGGGGACCGCGTCACACAATCCCCAATCTCAGCCATCTCAATTTTCCTGACTCTAGGAGCCTAGCACCCACTCCTTCTCCCAAAACCCCAAGAGAAGCTCTTAAAATTTAAAACAACTTACCCAGCTTCCATTAAGGTAGTCCTGGAGCCCTCCTGGCAAGTAGAAATGACACGCTAGGAGATGGGGAGGGCGTGGAATATCATTTCTTCGTGCACTTCAGGATTACCTTAATGGCTGCCTAGTAATTTGTTTTAAATTTTAAGGGCTTCTTGGGGGGGGGGGGGGCTTCTGGGTGTCTGGGTGCCATCTCAGGAGTTTTTTAAACACACTTTGGCATGGGTTTTACCCCTCTCTGGAAGTGCCTTCTGATTTCTATCTGAGATCTGTTGTTGTTTGTTTTCAGGGTGTTTCTGACTTACAGTGATCATAAGGTAAAACTATCGCAGGATGTTTTTGACAAGATGTCTTCAGAGGTTTGCCATTGCCTTCCTCTGAAGCTAATAGCCTATGACCTGACCAAGGTCACCAGTGAGTTTTTGTGGGTAGTAATTTGAGTATTTAACTGATCCTTGGGAATCAATTGAATACTCAAATCACTACACCATGCTGGCTGCTCCTAGAGAGATGTCAACAGTTTAATCTGAATCCCCTTAATGTCATAAGTGTATTCTACTACTGTGCTATGTTTCTTTCCAAAGGACTCAAGAATGAATGATGGTGACATGACATAAGCCACACTCTTACGTTCACATTTAATTGTGATATGAGTCAATACAGAAATCAACATAGTTTGTATTCACAGTCAAAATTCCTGCCTACCTCAACACAATTTTACCTGTTTTTTAAATTATTATTACTTTCAAAGTACAACACTAAGATCATATCTGAGTGCAACTGCAGAGGAACACTGCAAGACCTGTTTACTAGTAAATGTGGATAGAATCAGTCTGACATGGTGGTTGTTGGTGTGGTCCAGCATTTCTGTGTTCTCAAATAATATGCTGTGTCCAGGCTGGTTCATCAGGTGCTCTGCTATGGCTGACTTCTCTGGTTGAAGTAGTCTGCAGTGCCTTTCATGTTTCTTGATGCGTGTCTGGGCGCTGCGTTTGGTGGTCCCTATGTAGACTTGTCCACAGCTGCATGGTACACGGTAGACTCCTGCAGAGGTGAGAGGATCCCTCTTGTCCTTTGCTGAACATAGCATTTGTTGGATTTTCTTGGTGGGTTTGTAGATAGTTTGTATGTTGTGTTTCTTCATCAGCTTCCCTATGTGGTCAGTGGTTCTCCTAATGTATAGTAAGAATGCTTTTCCTCTGGGTGGATCTTTGTCTTTACTCTCATGGCTTGTTCTTGGTCTTGCAGCTCATCTGATGTCTGTGATTGGAGTATCCATTGGCCTGTAGGGCCCAGTTTAGGTGGTTCAGTTCACCTTGGAGGAGGTGGGGTTCGCAGATTCTTTTTGCACGGTCTGCCAAGGCTTTAATGGTGCTTCTTTTTTGACTTGGGTGATGGTTGGAGTTTTTATGTAGATATCTATCTGTGTGTGTGGGTTTTCTGTAGACGGTTGTGACCCAATTGTTGATCTGGTTTGCGGATGACTAGGACATCTAGAAAAGGCAGTCTTCCTTCATTTTCTTTTTCCATGGTGAACTGGATGTTTGGGTGGATGCTGTTAAGATGGTCCAGGAACCTGTTGAGTTCTTCTTCTCCATGGCTCCAAATGGTGAAGGTGTCATCCACATATCTGAACCATATCGTGGGCTTTTTGGTTGCTGTCTCCAGGGCTTGTTTTTCAAAGTGTTCCATGTAGAAGTTAGCTATGACCGGGCTGAGAGGGCTCCCCATAGCTACTCCATCTTTCTGTTCGTAGAATTCATTGTCCCACTGAAAGTAGCTGGTGGTGAGGCAATGGTGAAACAGAGCTGTGATGTCTTCTGGGAACCTCTGGTTGATGAGTGCCATGGTGTCTGCTACTGGGACCATGGTAAATAGAGACACCACATCGAAGCTGATCAGTTTGTCGTTGGTATTTAGCTTGAGGATTGCTGATTTTTCTATGAAGTGGGCTGAGTCCTTGATGTAGTGTGTAGTGAGCCCAATATGGCTTTGTAACTGTGCAGCAAGAAATTTTGCTAGGTCGTATGTGGGGGATCCAATGGCACTCACGATGGGTCTGAGTGGGGTGGAGTCCTTATGGATTCAAAGTACAACACTAAGATCATATCTGAGTGCAACTGCAGAGGAACACTGCAAGACCTGTTTACTAGTAAATGTGGATAGAATCAGGATATGGTTTGCATGTTATAATTATGAATTGCTAAATATAAAGCTTAGGAAGTATGAAGAAGAGCAAATAAACCAATGCTGAGGCTAGTTGTGGCTGGTCAGGGCTAGCTAGGTGGGAATTCTAAATAATACACATTGAATAATACACAAAACCCATAATAGCCACCTGTGTGGTCTCTTCTAAAGCTGTGTGGCCATGCTTATTTAATAAAAGTCCAAAGGGGATTCTGCATGAGAAACAGTCAAAGACTATATTTGCATTCATGCTCAACATTTCTGTGCAGATTCCACCAACTTTACAAGAAAACAAGCCTGCCAAGACAAAGTAGTTGTTTGTCATAGTGAGGGATTTGCCTCATCGAGCATTCTTACATTTATTCTGGTTTGTCTTTAGATTGATCATTGAAATGTCATCATGGATGTAATGTGCAAGTCTGATTGTTAAGAAATAAATTTTATTGGATTTTTGCAGGGGGGGGTGGAGTGGGCAGATTACAGTGGGTTTGACTTTTGCAGATTTGATTATTCATTAATTTTGATTACAATGTTCTCTCTAGGAATCTAGGTCCCCCATTCAATTCTATGGTCACCTTCTGACAGAAGTTGACTAGAGAATCATGCTGGAGGACCGAGAGCTTTCATAGAGAAATGTTCGCTCAGGTTAAAAAAATGGATTTTTATTAATGGTTTTCCTTCTTCACGGGGCTCTTGCATACCTAACCCCAGTGAATGTGAGCTCACTGTAACAGCAGGGAATATTGTTTGATCCTTAGGGGAAGGAGAAAGAAAGTGACACAATCATTCTGTGCATTTCATGGCTTATTTGAGTCTAGAACTTGGATCTTTCAGGTCCAGTCTAACACTGTACATACATACACACAATCTGCACTGGATCTCCCATACAAGACCTCTGGGCCACCTTATTAAATTGTTTCATGGAGTGCTCATAGAGTGTTCATGGTGATTCTACTAGCATGAGCTACATGGTGTGGTGACAAAATGGAACAACACACATTGGGGCACTTCTAGAAGAACCTAGGTGTAATAGATCTACCTTTCAGTCGGCTAGGCCGAAGCCTGCTTAACAGTGGCTGGCATCTTGGTAGGCAAGCAGAGCAGGAGGAGGAGTCAGGCTGACTCCTGATTGGGTGTAGCAATTGGGGGAGGAGTCAGCTTAGAGAGGGAAAATAAGCTGCCAGTTTTGACACAAAAGGGAGAAGAGTCTTAGATAGAGACAGAGAAGGGTGTGGATTTTGGAGATAGGAAGTTACAGCAGGGAACTGACAGGAGAAGAGGAGCTTTTAGTGAGCCTCTAGGTTTGGGAATAAGGTGAAGACATTAGGCTAGAGTTTTACTACGTTGAGAGGACTAGTAAAAGAGAGCTGTGTCTTATTAAACTCAAGAGAAGTTTAAAGATACCTTATAGCCCAGTGAGTTGAGGCAGACTGGAGTCTGCTCTAAGAGAAACTATGTCTAATAGGAGAACAGTTTGTTAAAGGGACTCACAGCTGTAAAAGCTATTCTGTTAGGGGAACTGTTTGTTTGAAGCAACCAAGTTACTGCAATCGCATCAAGATTCTGTACCACTCATTTCCAATGAGTTGTTGTTAATATCAAGTTTAAAATAAACTCTTTCTTAGTTAACTTTCAACTGTTGTATGCCTCAATCCATCTGTTCTCTCAGAAACTTATTCAGTCAGCTCATTTTAAAGTCCAGTCGGCTAGGGAGGAAGCCATAGAAGACCAAGAACTCAAACCCACATTACCTATAGTACAATCACACCCTTATGGTTCCTCAGGCCAGTAATTTCTGAGGTGGTGGCGGCAAATACTACCAAGATCATTCGGTCACTTTCACAGAGGTGTGATTCGTTGTGTCCACCCTGCCTCGATAAGCCTTTAACTTCTTTTATATTGGTGGCAGCGGTGGGATTGTTTGACCACCCTGCCCAGACAGCCTTTTGATTTCCGTTATACTAGGCAAATCCATGGAGGGCAGGTCTGTCGAAGGTAAGGATGACCTTCCATATACTGTTGGGCTACAGCTCTTGTGAGCCTTACCCATTGACCTTTGGGCTGGGGTTGATGGAACTGGAATCTAGGAAGACAAAACAAAGCTTGGAAAAATTAGTTACCTTGAACTACATTATTATTATTAACCTGTACTTTATATATATCTTGCTTTTCTTCCCATGGGGGACTCAAGGCAGCTAACAACCCCACACTTTATGTTACTGATTTAAAAGGCCTATTTCACATCACACTTTTCCTATATAAGCAAGGAAAAATAATTGTGTACCTGTGTGCACTATCTTGCACAGCAAATGCAATCCCATAACTATATTAATAAGAAACTCACTCAAGTTCTTTAATGTCTGAACCAAGTGAGTTAACCATAATTAATTCCAGGCATGTGTTTGCTCTCTTATGGTGTGTTTTAGCACTTCTTTGTTTTTATTTTTCTGCTACACGTGAAACAATCTGTAAGGGTCAGGTTGTTGGCTCTAGTTTTCACTCATGCATTCTGCATCACTTCTTTTGTTTGTTTGCGGGAAGTGTAGGGCTAAGTTGTTACTCTACTTTTTCTTTATTCCAGAATTTGTAAACCAAGCGGAAGATGCTGCTACTGGAGCTGCATCAATTGTAGTCAATAGTGAAGGTATGGAATTTCCTGTGTACCTGATTTGTATGAACTTAAATATATAAAAGAAAAAGAAAGGCCAACTTTAATCCTATTGTGCTATTTTGTGTATTAATCCTTGCTTGTATCTCATAGAAGTTATTCTTAAGAGAAAATAGAACTACAGAATTTGATTACAGATATGAGGTATCTCTTTTGCCTCTTTTCCTTCCCCCTTTCTCTTCCCTTCCACACTGCACTTTTATCCCAAGATCTGATCTCACATTATCTGTTTATCCCAGGATATCTGGCAGTAGGGACATATATTCTAGTTCAAAGCAGATAATCTGGGGTCAGGTCCAGGAATAAAGGGCAGTGTGGAAGGGCCCTAAGGATGCATCTACACTGGCCACTTACTGCAGATTAGGACTGGATTAGCTCTGGTCCTAAAAGTGCTGCACAAAACTGATCTGGGGTCATGTGGGGTAAGGCCCAGAATTCAAAGTATCCTCTGACTTTGGGCCCATCTAAACAATTGATCTGGTCCCAAAAGGGAACTGACCACAACTGTTTTCAGCCATCCTATGTTTTCTGGGCTTGGGTAGCCCAAGGACATGTGGTGGCACTTACCGTGCCCACCCAGCCTCTGTGTCATGGCGGTCTCTGGATGTGACATGGCTTCTACCAGTCAGATGTTGCTTGCAGTTCTGTCAAACAGGATGATCAGGGAGGAAGAGAGGAGGTGGTGATTCCCCCTCTCCCACCTCCCGCATCTCCCTCCCGTGATGATGATGTTTTTATTGTACTTATATTTTAATCTGTAATGATGATGCACTGTGTTGTTTTTGTATATTATTGTATTTGAACACATGTTGCCTGAGTCCCTTGTTCGAGGTGAGAAGACCGGTATATAAAACTTCTAAATAAATAATAAAATTAATCTCCTTTAGTTGGCCAGAACTCTTTTCCACCTCCGTGGGGGTGGGGTCCCTGTCTGAGCCATCCCAGGGCAGACTCGACATACGCCATTCTGAATCAGCTGCAGGATAGTGACTCAGTGTAGAACCACCTTAGAATAATAGAATCATAGAGTTGGAAGAGACCTCATGGGCCATCCAGATCAACCCCCTGCCAAGAAGCAGGAATATTGCATTCAAAGCACCCCTGACAGATGGCCATCCAGCCTCTGTTTAAAAGCCTCCAAAAAAGGAGCCTCCACCACACTCCGGGACAGTGAGTTCCAGTGCTGAACAGCTCTCACAGTCAGGAAGTTCTTCCTAATGTTCAGATGGAATCTCCTTTATAGATTACAATCTGAACATGAATCAGCAGTTGTGTAGAGTACCTTAAAAGCCAATGCAATTTTAAGATGCATCAATATAATAATAATAATAATAATAATAATAATAATAATAATAATAATAATAATCTTTATTTATACTCTGCCACCATCTCCCCAAAGGGGACTTGGGTTGGCTAACATGAGGAATATAGTACCTAGAGTGAGGGAGATAGCACTATCATTTTATTCTGTTGTGGTCAGGCCTCAACTGGAATCCCTTGTCCAGTTCTGGGCACCACAAAGAAAGATATTGAGACGCTGTAACTAAAATGATCAAAGGTTTGGAAGCTAAGTCCTGTGAGGAATAGCTGAGGGAGCAGGGTATGTTCAGCTTGTTGAAAAGGAGGCTGAGATCCCTCATATGATAACCATATGATATTGGCAAAAAAGGAGCAAGCTTGTTTTTCCCTGTTCCAGGGACCAGGACACAGAGTACTGGATTCAAAGTAAAGGAAAAGAGATTCCATCTAAACATTAAGTAAAACTTCCTGATGGTAAGAGCTGTTCGACAGTGGAATATGCTGCTTTGGAATGTGGTGTATTCTCCTTCTCTGGAAGTTTTCAAACAGAAACTAGATGGCCATCTATCAGGAGTACTTTGATTATGTATTTCTGTATGGCAGGAGGCTGGACTGGATGGTCCTTGTGGTTCTTTCCAAGTCTAGGATTCTATGATATATTCATTTGCAATGTGTGCTTGATCTGGCATTATTCTGAATATTGAGTGTCACCAGAATGGTAGCTTGGACTAGTAATGTTACAATATTGCTACTAGCTGCCACTACTAAATGATAAGATGTGGCCTCTGAACACCAACCAAAGTCTGCTTCAGCTTAACTACGTCTTTTCCCATTCATTAATCATTACACAACAACTGAGGTCATACATTTTCCATGCCTGCAGATGCCTGAGTACAAAGTCTTAAGTGTACCTTGATACCAGTAAAAGCTATTTGTGTGTGCTTGTGTATAATTTACATTAAAGAAGTGACAAGTGAGATTAAAGAAAAATATGCCCAACACATACTTTGACCGTGGAGGGGGAATGGAAAAATATTACCTGGATTCTAGTATATGATAGCTGAATAAACTTGGCAGCTCTTTCAAATTCACAGGGTACATGTGGCTGGTAAGTGCAGAGGCACTCTCATACAGTATTACACCCACACTCACGGACCTTGAACACTTATTTAGCAATCTGCTTTTTCTTTTTCAGTACAGAAAGAATGACTTAGAAATTAATTGCTAAAATCCAGTTACAGTTACAGTCATAAAGAAGAGACATATCAAAGTATGTTCTCTGTTGTCCAATACCTATAGCCTGCCATTCCAGATCTGAATGTTGCTGCATCATTTACCACCAATAAAAATTATGGTATAGTAATAATGGGTGTCCGCATCTAGCATCAAAAGACCCTTGTCAGGTACTTGAAATTACGACCAATTCTGGAAGAAGACAGTAGATTTTCTTCTTCCTAAATACAGGGCCCATCTTATTAATTAATGGACATTTGGCTTCTCTATTGTGTTATCCTGCTAACAGGCCTGTAGCTGGGGGGGGGGGGGGGGGGGGGGGGGGGGGGGGGGGGGGTTATGGGTTTAACCCCCCTCCCAAATTTTTCAGGTTAAAAAAAACCCTGGTTTACTCATGAATTTTAACTGGTTAACCAAATCCCCATGCTAAGTCTATGAGATGCAAAAAATTAAGAGTCCCTCCAGAACTGCAAGCACTATCTCAAGCAAATATTGACAATTTATTCACATTGTCATTACTTGCAGCAATAGTCAATGTAGTGAAGCAACCAAGTTTGGGGGGGGGGTGAATGCTCTCATTAAGGAGGCCAGACTTGGTGGAGGTGGTTGACAGGGGCGGAGCTGCAGGCTATTGAAGGCTGCTCTGCCCCCTGCTGTGCTCTTTGCTTCAGCGTGACCCTACCCCCCCCCCAAATTTTCCCCCCCCCCCCCCCCCCCCCCCCCCCACCCCCACCCCCCCCCCCCCCCCCCCCCCCCCCCCCCCCCCCCCCCCCCCCCCCCCAATTTTCAATCCTCCCAGAATTTTTTTCTGGCTACGGCCCTGCCTGCTAATGTTTACATCGCTGTTGAGTTACACTCTGTTGGTATCTTGGAAAAAACATACAAACATAGGTAGATAGATAGATACGAATATATTTTGACTTTTATTTATATAGATATTAGATATATTTTGCAATATTTCAGTAATGCTCTGTTTGTAAAAACTAAACAAATAGTTATTGTAATTAGCTTCTTCCTATGAAAGTTTTCGGAAAGCTGTGCAGAGTACGATAGGTGCAACCCAAAGGCTGACATGTTTGTGTTGTTCAAGTTCTTTTCACTGAATGTGCCAATGAAAGGGGATGGAGGAGAAAAAGCCCTGGGCTTTAACCAAAATAAGATTTAACTTGAGAGTTCAAGTCATGTTTTCAGTGCTCTAATTGCTTTGGAGAGCTTGAATTCCTCCCTGCGAGATCATTATATTATCGTTCTACTTGAGGCAGGCACACTTTGCACGCAAAGTGCTTTGAAAACTGATTCAAGAGAAATGTGTTCATAAACCATCACTATTTGCAGACATTCGCCAACCCACAATCAGATAGACATTCATGATTTACAAGATCTGACACTAGCATTTGGCAGGGGGCAGTAGATGTAAAAAAATCATTCTTCAGTTTAATTTTTATCAGTTTTCCATTGAATGATGTCAAGAATGGCAGTGCTCCCAGATGCGTCTATTTACCTGAAATAAATAAACGTAAGCTGGAATGCCATGATGCCACTGATAACAATGTGCACGTGTCTCATCTCATATTGCTTACTAAATCAAGGAGTCCATGACTGCGATTAAGCAGGCACAAGCAAGTGGGGACATAGTGCCACAATAGCTGCTTCAGAAACTGCTCCAATAGCCTCAGTTATAATCTCACCCAGAACAGATTCCTGAACTAGTATAAACGCATCATTTGCAATAGTCCCTAAAAGCAGCCCTTTGGACTAAAAGTTGATGGATACATTTCAACTGAACTGTCCTCTTAATAAATGCTTTGGGATCAGTAATGTGACCATTTGCTCTTCTTCTCTTTTTCATGCATTTGTAAGTATAGGCTTGAGTGCAACCAGAACTCAAACCACAGAAATTTTGTTAAACTGCACATCAGTCCAGGAGAAAGTTCTCTTAGAGAAATTCCATTGAAATTATGGCCAGCTACACAAAGAGTATGGTTGAATTCCATTCCTTTGGTTTCTAGGTGACAAGGGAGACTCAGAACATACTTTATTTTAATCACTTTAACATTTCAACTTTTTTTTCAGGGCAAAACTTCATTGTCATTGTTGCAGGAGCAAATTTGCTTTTAAATTCTAATGACTTGAAGAGGGCTGCTCATGTCATCTCGAAAGCCAAAGTTATGGTTTGCCAGCTTGAAATCAGTCCAGCGATTTCTCTGGAAGCTATGAAAATGGCTCAAGCCAGTGGAGGTAAAATGATCATGTGGTTTAATTATTTCTCCTCTCAATCTGTTTTTTAAAATATCTTTTTCAAGACAGTAAGGTTTAAATGCTTTCTTTCATGCACACTAGGACAATTAAAGATAGTGGGAAGTCCACGGCTATAGAGGCAGTATCACTTTTGACATACAATATACTTCATAGGGTGAATTTTAGGACTGCATCCACAGAGCATTAACAGGTACATCAGAATTGTATTTATCTCTCCTCTATATAATCATGTGCATAGCAAAAACTACTTTCTTCAATACCGCTTTGAAATGGCATTCAATGGTCAGTGTAGATGAGGTCTCAGTTACTCGGAGCAACAGTCTGTATTATTTTTGCTCTCACAGAGATACACTGAAAGACAACGATTGCAGCCCAATGTCATTTTGACATGACTGCATGAAACTTGGAACCTCCAATCTTGAGGTCTAATGCTTTGTTCCCTCCATCATGGGTGGAAAATAGAAACAGGACATTTTATTCTTTTGCACTACAGCTCCCAGAACCACCCCCTTGCCCAGCTAAGCTTTGGTTATTTCCATAAATTATAGCAGTGGTGCACAATTTAGAGGGGTAGGAGCCATTTTTGACTCTTTGCCTGACCAGCAGGCTGCACAAGCAGTCCAAAATTACCCAAAAAAACCCAAAACAATTGTGCACCCCACCCTGCCTTGGCACACCCTGAAATTCCTCAAAACATTTACAAACTTCAGTGGCTTTACCATCATGGTGTAATGTTAAAGCAGTTGAATATGAATCAGGAGAGCAGGGTTGGAATCAGGCCAAAAACCTATGGAACTACTTTGGACAAATCACGCACTCTCATTCTTAGAGGAAGGCAAATGCAAACTCTCTCTGAATAAAATCTTGCCAAAAATACTATACAGCATTATAGATTCATCTTAAGATCTCCAGCAGTCAGAACTTATGTTTTGAAAGCACGCAACAGCAGCAACAACAACAACACCCCAAACCTGCCAGGAACACCCTCCCCATCCCTTTCAGCTGAAACTGAAACAGGAAGAAAGCATGCTAGCTCTGGTTTTGATTATGGTTGATTGTTATCCATTTTGCTTGGGGGACTCTAGCAGTATCTTAAGGTATATGAGTGGTCTGGGAGAGCAAATCCACTACAATTTGCAGAAGTGTTTTAAGCCATTTTAATGGGGAGGGGGGTTGCATGAAAAATCATCAGTATTTTTTTTAGGAGGTCTGGAAGCTTTTGGAGGCTTCAGGGGCCACAAATTAGGGCTCTGAGGGCTATATGCAGCTCACAGGCCTGATTCTACACCTACCTAATACTACATAGGTTCATACTATAGTAAATATCTGCCCACCTGTGGCATAAATGTCATGTAAAATATATTGAACCAACTTTGTCATCGAATTGTCATGAACACTGTGCTAACACAGCAAATTCTTAAACAACCTCCCAGCTGGAGTGTATTAGCGGCAGTTCTCTTCCTTTTAATCTGCAGATGCCTCATGTTTAATGCAGCAGTTTATGTTAGGAAGTACACTAGACTGTTTTGTGTTGAACAGATGAATGCCCAGATGCTGTTCTCAGAAAAAAGAGGAAACAGAAGAGACAGAACCTCATGGTCATGAGCCCTCTTGTTCCCATTCACTTGTGTCAGTTTTATAGGCTACAGATTAAAAGTGCTGCACTTGCTGATATGTCACTGTCTTACTACTAGTTGTAAAAGGGCCCCCTAGCTTAATTTCCACAAGCACAGGAGTACTAAAACTTTTGTTTTTGACTGGCATTGTGCCAGTTCAGATCATCCAGTTTGGTGCAGCAATACTGTATAGCCCTTTGCCTTCACCAGTAGCTGATTGTAGCTCCAAGCCTCTTACTAAAGTCTAAAGCAGAGACAAACTCTTTCCCCCTTCCAGCATTCACTCAGAATTGCAGGGTCCCCACCACTAGCAATTTTCTCCTTTAAAACAATGTGTATTTTTCTTATTTTCAAAGATAGTTACACCTTGGCTTTCAGCATTTTGGGGAAAGCAAAAAAGAACATATCCTCTTCTAAAGAGAGGTGTTGTTTCACCTGTCATTTTTCACCCAGTGATCCACTGTAATCAAGAGCAAGTGAGCTTGTTAAAGTGATGTGGAAATCGTTGCCATTTGTACTCGAAAGCAATCAGCCTGCAAATGAACTACCACACAGTGATGGTGAAAGCTGTGTGGCCTCTATCAGGCTGAATGTCAAAGCATGTGGAGTGGACTTTGTATGGTTGTCCTGCAATGAGAGCTGAAAAGTCAATACTTGGACAGTTGGCCTTCCATTCTCCATGGACTTTGTGTCCATGGATTCAACCATTCACAACTTTAAAATGTTTTTAAAAATCTGAAAAGTAAATGTTGATTTTACCATTTCATATAAGGGACATAATTTTATGGAACCAAACCACATCAGATACCAAGGAGCCATTTTGTTCCAAATTACTATTACTCTCAGAATGCCATGATTGGGGAAAACTGGGAGTGATACTCCACAGAAGTATTTTTCACAGATTTGTTGCAAACCATATAACAAAGTCTTCTATATAGCCTTTGCTTCTGATATTGCCGATCCATACTCAGGTATAGAGTGAGAGGAATATAGGTTTCATGTGTAGCCATACTATGTGTGTATGTGTTTCTGCTGCAATGATAGGGTGTGCTGTGCCTATACAAACTGTAAAGCTTTTTCAGTCAACTGATATGAGATAATTAACCATATTTGGCACGCTTGGTGAGACGGAAGCTATCACAGTTGCATTGTTTTCATGTGTCTTAATGGCTGTTGAGTTAAAGCAGCCTTCTCCAAGCTGATGTTATCCAGATGTTTTACCTATCAACCACATCAGATATAATGAATGGCTAGGGATGGTGAGGATTGTACTGTAAAAGCCACCATGCTATGAAAGATTGCTTTAAACTCTTTATGTTCAAATAGTGATGTCCTAGACTTTGAAGATTCAACAGAACAGACAATGTGAGAGAAAGAGTTGCCTACTCTGCCTGCTGTAGAACATATGCAAGAGATGATGGCATGACAACAGAGGCTTTTGGGGAGTTCCACTCCCCAAATCTTTGCTTATCTTGCAACTATCTCTACAGCATGAGGAGGTCATGCTACTATCATTCTAGAGACCAAGGACTACAGACATGGAGGAGCAAGTCTCCTGCACACACAGTCAGAATCAAGTTACTAAAGCTGGCATTAACCAGAAGAAAGATGTGGTTGACCACACAATACTTCGTCCCTTGATTAATCCTCAACCTATGGCTCCACTTTTTCCTCTCTCTCTCTCCACTCAGAACTGTCCAATATCTTGTCTAGGCTCCATTTCCTGGACTTCAACCACCATCTGCTTGTGACAGTGCCCTGCAACAGACTGGTATCATTAATTATCCAAGCTTGACTTTGGACTTACAGCCTTTGGACTAGCTTTATGATAGGGTAAATAAAATACATATGGAAAAGATTAGGTATATTAGAAAATTATTGTTTTCTAGTAGACTGACATTTTCATGACTGCCCTGTTGTATATTTACTGAGTTTACAGTGCCTCCTTGGCCTCCAGGTCAGAGCCTAACAAGACATGCCACTTGTGCCTGCTGTAATGAATTTCTCTGTAAAAATCACTTTTCAAGCTCTCAGTATGTAAATAAGATTTGTGGAGCCAACTATTTGTTGTTTGTGGGCTTTCAAGTTTTTTCTGACTTGCAATGATCCTATTCATGGGTTTTTCTGGAAATGAAAGTGTGTGACTCACCTAAGGACACCCAGTGGATTTTGGAATTGAATAGGGAATCGAACTCTGGTCTCCCGAGACATAATTCATAGATATAGTACTACAAACTCATTGTCGGTGTGCATCATATCAGCTCAATTAGTGAATATGGCCATGGTTCAATCATTTTGTCTTGCTCTGGATCATCTTCTTTTTTAAGAACTCCCATCAAGCTTATGATGCTTTTACTGGCTGTTTTCCATGTTAAAATTGTAGCTCCGTCTGCCTAAGTTACCCTACCAATAATAGCATGCACTTCAGGGCCTTGAAGTGGTGGTCTGTTAAGTCTAATAGCAGCTTTTGCATTCACCGTCTGGTGAGTAAAGAGATAGGAACAAGGCATTAGTCGTTGCTTAAATAGGAATTAAACTGCAGAAAGGAAACAAGAGCAGCCAAAAACAGATCCCTCTCAAAATAAGGAGAGCTTCCAACTGTTTTTGGATGTTTGCCAAGTGTAGCTGAAAGCGAGATTTCTCCTTTCTAAATCTGGTGTGGGGAACCTCTAGCCTACATGCCGCCCACAGGGATGCAGAAAGAAAGCAAGAAGAAAGAAAGACAGAAAGACAGATGGGTACATAGAGATGGGAAGGACGTGGTACAGAGATTGAGAAAAATAATAGAGTACAGTATCTTGTCTTGCAGTGCTTATGACTCCATGTTTTTGCACCTAGTTTCAGCCAGTTTTGGTTCTTGCTCCACCCAGGATTATTAATAGTCTGAAAGGGACTTTCCCTATGTCAATGGAATCATAGAATCATAGAGTTGGAAGAGACCTCATGGGCTATCCAGTCCAACCCCCTGCCAAGAAGCAGGAAAATTGCATTCAAAGCACCCCCGACAGATGGCCATCCAGCTTCTGTTTAAACGCCTCCAAAGAAGAGTTCCACTGCTGAATAGCTCTCACAGTCAGGAAGTTCTTCCTAATGTTCAGATGGAATCTCCTTTCTTGTAGTTTGAAGCCATTGTTCCACATCCTAGTCTCCAGGGCAGCAGAAAACAAGCCTGCTCCCTCCTCCCTATGACTTCCCCTCACATATTTATACATGGCTATCATGTCTCCTCTCAGACTTCTCTTCTGCAGGCCAAACATGTTCTCCAGATCCTTGATCATTTTAGTCACGTTCCTCTGGACATATTCCAGCTTATCAACATCTCCCTTCAATTGCAGTGCCCAGAATTGGACACAGTACTCCAGATGTGATCTAACCAAGGCAGAATAGAGGGATAGCATGACTTCCCTGGATCTAGACTCTATACTCCTATCGATGCAGGCCAAAATCCCATTGGCTTTTTTTGCCGCCACATCACATTGTTGGCTCATGTATAACCCCTTATAAGAAAAGGTCCTACTCTTTTTACATCTTTAGAGTTGAAGGTTGAAAGAGAACGCTATGTAACAGAATGTGAGTGCTGCCTCTAAACTTTCTTATGTAGAAGAGGGCTTATTTCATCTGGAAATATCATCTATTTCAGGCCTGCACAACTTGTCAATAGTAAGGGGTCAAAATTAAATAGGCTAAACATCTATTTAAATTTTTTTGTGCCTCAGTCCAGGTTTGTGAGAGGATGCCTTTCCCTCATAGCAAGCAGCAAAGTGTATTAGCCCCCATTTCCCCACTTCCGCTCTATGTGGTGGCAAGTTGTAGGGAAAGAAGAAGTGCCCCAGCTCTTGCCTTTCCTGCTTTTCCTTTCCCTTTGCCTGTGGGTTGCCTCTGTTGTCTCCTATGCCTCCAGAAGGAAAAAGAGCCAACTTGATGGCATTCATTTCTCTCACTTGTGAGGGAGAAACTTAGCTTTACGATGAAGACCCCACAACAACTTCATGGTGAAGCTACATTTGTCCCTCACAAGGGAGGGAAATTAACGATGGGGAGTTGGTGATTTCCCCACCAAAGAAGGAGATGAGAGAGGCAACCCAGAGGCACAGAAAAAGGAAGATCAGTGGCAAATGGTGCAGAGTTGGTCATTTTGTTGCTGGATGAGAAGCAATTTACTGCCTTTTCGCTCTAAAACGACCAATTAATATGTAATTTTAACATAACCTGGAGCCCAAGATTCTAACTTTCCTGAATAAAGTTCTGATACCTCTTAAAATTCCATTCCATTCCCCAGTACTCCCCAGTACTCCCCACTACTCCAACTTGAGCCCAACAACTTCCCTACACCACATTTCCAAACGAGATCAGCATTGCTAGCTGTGTCACTGGACTGGATTTATTGGTGGTGCCCCCTTTGTCACAGGTTGGTTTGGTAACTATGGTGCATACAGAACAGAGATAAAACATTTGGAGGAGAGAATGGCGGTTTCCAATTGCTACTTTGCTGTAGTATTGCATGGAACCTTCCTCTCTAAGGCTTAGGCTATGAAGAGCCTCTGCAGGTCACACTAAAACCTTGTGAGGGCTGCATTCATCTCCTAGGCCACATGTTGCACAGCCCTGATCTACTTGATACAAAACGAGATATTAATGAACACCCAGGTTTTGTTTTGGGTTCTGTCACAGAATGCTATAAGTGCTGTATTTCTGAGTTTCCCCCAACAATTGCAAAGTGCCATTCTTAAATAGAACATCTTTGAGAAATAATAAATACATCAGTAAGTATTGGGCTGTTTGAATTCAAGAGAGCTTTTGTTTTGCTATTTAATTGTTTTCTTCTGATATTTTGGGGCTTTTGTGAAAGCCAACATTAGTATGATCTATTAATTATCCTCTGTTTTGTAATGTCAGAAAATTCAATACTTTCCTGGAATTTTTGTGTATTTGCAAATAATGTATTGTTATTCATGTTTTAGTATCACATGTCATTGATTTTGACAACATTTCCCATTATTTTTCAGTGAAGACTTTGTTTAATCCAGCTCCAGCACTTGCTGACCTAAATCAAGAGTTTTATACCCATTCTGACATCTTCTGTTGCAATGAAAGTGAGGTAATGCATATTTCATTTTATTGGCTTTGGAGTTAGGTAAAATGTTGAATGTTATGTCTGTGATGGAATGCAAGGGATATACCCAAATTGTGTTAATATTTTCTTTCTGTGATGCTGGGATTTCTGCATACTGGCTTTTACAATTAAATCTCAATTAATAAGTATCTCTAAGTATTACTTTCTTAATAGAAAATTTGGTACTAGAGACACAATAACTTGGATAGAAGTGGTCTAGTTTCATACTCTACAAAACAGAATAGCAGTTCAACATGCTTCAGAAAACTTTGTATTCCAAACAAAGGATACAGACTTTAAAAACTACTCCTGGCTACATGCTGGGAATGCTCTAACGAAGATCCTCCGTCGACCTGATGGCTCATAGGGCCTCTTCCAGATCTATGATTCTATCATTCTATTCTGTGAAACAATTGGGCCAGGGAATATTTGCAAAAAGTAAACAAAAACAATCTGAACCTTCTAGAGACCACAGTTTCAGCAGCTTCCACTTTTATTACTTCCATTTTGATGGACAGATGTGTACATCTAGCTATTAAAATACATGTTTTGAGAAGCTGATGAAGTAGGCTTATCTGCTCTGCCCATTTTCCTCTGTTTTTGTATTTATTCATGCTCAATAAGGGATTCTGGAAGCAGGTTCTCTTTACCTTGTCGGGTGTAGGTGATTGAACATGCAGAATTTTTTCCACGAATGGGAAGGGCTATGGTTGGGATCCAAGATTATGCATAATAAAACTCTTGCTTCTTCTCTTTTCCTACCTCAAGCCTGGCATACCTAGTAACTAGCCCTGACCAGGGAGGGGGAGTTGTAGGATGAACAAGGACTGCAGCGGGAAAGGGAGATCAACCCTTTTCTTGGTTCTGAACGAGTTCCATCCTCTAATTTCTCTAGTTGGGATTTATATAGTACCATTACATTCCTGCTGAACTCTAGTTCCTCTCATTTAACTTAACCTCCTGAGAAATGGAACATTGCCCATAGTTGTTCCATTAATAATTTGGTGCCATTGATGCCTGTTTCTCACAGAGATAATCTGTAAAATTCTTAAATACTGGTTTAAAGAGATTGCTATACTAATACTATAAGTGTTAAAACTCTTCAGTAGCAATACTTAATATTTCAGATTTCAAATTTTGAAATTCTTAGAGAAAAATATGTTTTCTAATTTGGTGATAAAAATAATAGAAATCCTGGCAATCACATCTTCAGAAGGGCATTCCAAAACTGCACTGACTAATTGCATCATGTATTCCCCACATTTATGGTACCAAGAATGCCCTCCTATGAAGATCCTAATTTCTAAACAGGATTTCCCATACAGAAAGGCATTCCAAAACAAAATCTCAAGGTTCAGAGTTGCCCACCCCTGATTTTTGAGTACACATTTTTCTTTTTGGTACAGCTAAGTAGCAAAAAAAAAAATGTGTACTCAAAAATTAGGGGTTGACAACTGTGATCCTCCAGATTTTGTTGGACTACAGTTTCCATCAGATTAGTGAGATAAGCCAATGGAAATGGATGTTGGGATGTGAAATCCAAGAATATCTGGCAGACAAATGTTGTTCACCTTGCCATAAATTTAAGGAGGAAGAGAATATCTCGCTGTTACCACACACCCAATTAAATACATGACCTTTCTTCACATAATCAGAAAAGTTTTGGGGAATTCTTTGTTCATTTTTGAACTTGGTGCTGCTCAATAAGCTGGCAAAATTGAGCACTTTATCACAATGTCCTCCATTGCTGTATTGCTCTTACTTGAAGATGCAATATTTCCTGATGGCCATGTCTCCCATGTCCTCTGAATTGGAGACACAATAATGCAGGCATAATATTTAAATATTGTTGAGTGCTTGCTTGAGAATTAGAGGCCTGTGGGCAAAACTGATGGTCTACTTATTTATTGTAATGACATGAAAGAGAAAATAATGAGCTGCCAATCACCTTCCACTTAAAATATTTATAAAGGAAAAGGCAATTTTTAGTATGTCAAAATTTCCTGTCGTAGTCAACTGCGAAATCGCACTTATGGTATTCCTGCGCCTGCGCAGGCCCAGCTTTCGGAACCTTCTAGACTTAAAAAGAAACATTTTGCTCCCCAGTCCCGCCCCCCCTTCCCTCCGAGTATATAAGGTCCGTGGGCGGGACCAACCGTCAATTCTCTTTTTTCCGCTGTTAGATAGGCATCAGCTCGTGAACCTATATATATATATTTGGCTTTGAATTGGACTGAATTTGACTACGTTTCCAATTTCTGGCTCCCCGACTTGGACTGTTCGACGACTCTACCTAGACTGGCGCGAGTGGCACGAGGGGCTGCTGAGATGGCGACCACCTCTTTCAAAAAGTGCAGCAAGTGCCCCAATGTGCTTCCAGACACGGACGGTCATGACCTGTGTCTCGCCTGCTTGGGAGAAATCCACCTCTCCCAGGCCTGTGCGATTTGCGCGGCCTTCACTCCGCAGACGCGGAAAAACCGCGAAACGCACTTAAAGGCGGCCCTCTACGAGAGGGCCCTGCTGCCCCCACCGCCCCAGAAACCAGCGTCGGGGCCTGACCCAACTTCCTTACCTCCAGAGGCCGCTGCAAAGAAAAAGGCCAAGAAGCCTAAGGAGAAGTTGCAGGAGGGTCACACCGAACCTCAAGGCCGCAGCGCCTCCAAGAAGGCAGGGAAATCCCCATCGGACGGCCAGCGACGCCCGGTGCAGGCGCAACCCATGGCCAGCCTTCTCTTCCCGCCAGGGAGATTGGCGCCTCCCCGTGAATCGGGGATGAAGAGCGCGCGGCCTCTAGCCTCCCCGACGTCGGGGGAGGCCCTCCTGGCGCCCGCGGTGGCGAGCTTGCTGACTCCTCCCCCAACCGCTCGAGAGGCGCCCGAGATCGAGGCCTCAGGGAGAGGGGCGGGAGTCGGCGCATCGGCTGGCCCCGCCCTCGCTGAGCTGACCCCGCCTGAGGCTGGAGGGGCATCTCCTGGAGAAGGAGAAGCCGCGAGCGCGCAGCAGCGAGCGGCCCCCGATGCCGAGGCTTGGAACAGGCCGCTCGACACCGCTAGGCCCGCGAGCTCGGCGAGCCCGGGGGGAGGCCTCCTTCCCCCCCCCAACCCAACCCCACCACCGGCCTCGCCTGGGAGGGAGGAGCGAATCCGCAGGCCTCGCAGATCTAGGTCTCCTTCCAGGCGGAGCAGATCGCGCTCCAGGAGGAGCAGAGCATCCAGCCGTCGATACCGACGGGGATCAAGGGGCCGCTCCAGGCGCACCTCATCTTCATCCTCCTCCTCTTCATCGTCGTCCTCCTCCCCTGCCTCCAGGTCAGCCAGGAGGGCACGTCGGGCCCGCAGGTCCTGCTCTTCCTCATCCCAGCAACCCCAATTCGCGCCGAGCCCTTACCCTTACCCGGGGTTTTGGCAAATGGCTCCATCGGGTCAAATGCTTTTCCAGCATACATCTCCCTTTGCACCCATGCCCCACATGGAGGCTATCCCGGGAATTCCTCAAAGGGGACTGGGCACATCAACGACTGTGTTTCCGGCCCCAACCTTAATGCCGCCACCGACAGCGGCCTTGACCGTCAGAGCGCAGGAGACTGTTTCGCGCCCTGAAGGAGCCCCCAGGGCAAATCAGGAACTTGTTGTGGGACAAAATATTTGTACTGAACGTTCTAATTGTATGAACCAACCTCTGTATATTGATCCTGCTAATGGTGTTAGCATTGATAATGGTGATCCCACTCCTGTACCAACTGCCGCTTGTCAATCGTTGGCACCTGTAGGGGACCCCGAGGACCATGCTCCCAGTACGGAGCTAAGGGTCACGGAAGCGGAGGAATCAAACTCCGACTCAGATTCTCCCGACCAATCGGCGGCCCCCAGCACCTCTGAACCGGGCCCCTTGCCTCCAGACTTCAATAAGTTTGCCTGTCTTGTAGACAGAATGATCAAGGCCCTCGACATCCCGGCCCCTAAAGCTCCGGAACATGTCGAGGACCCAATGTTTCCTAGTGAGGAGCAAAATGTAGTTACCTCGACAGCCCTACCTATGCTCCCCTATTTGTTGAAATTGGCTAAAATACTAGACGTACCGCCGGCTGCGGTTCCAGCAGTCCCCAAGAGGGTGGACAACATGTACAGAATCGACCTGGCCAAAGCAAAATGGGTGACAAACCCCCCCAAACCGAATACGGTAGTGGCGGAAGTGGTCAAGTCGAAACGCCCGAAGGGAATCCTTTCTTCTCCCCCAGACAGGGAGGGCAGAAAAGTTGATACCATGGGAAAGAAAGCTCACGTTACGGCCGGTCTGCTAACTAGGATGTCGCATTACGCGACATATATGAGCGGGTACCAGAGCTTCCTCTGGAATAAAATGCTCCCATACCTCGATAAACTACCCCAAGAGGAACAACGTTTTCCTAAGGCTCTCCACACGGAGGCGTTAATTTTGTCAAAAATCCAAAAGGATTTCGCCAAACACCTGGCCGAAACTGCGGGCCACCTGTTTGCTACGGCCACCTCAATCAGGAGGCACGCCTGGCTTAGGGCTGCTAACTTATCCGAGGAAGGGAAGGCCTTAGCCGAGGATCTGCCCCTACATGAGGAAGGCTTGTTCAATCCGGAAACGGACGGAACACTAAAAGAGAAGCAGGAAGTACGCCAGGCTGCCAATAAATTCGGATATACCTGGCAACCTTTCAACCAACAACGCACAAGATGGCAACCTCCTGCAGGTAATTTCCGTAAGAATTTTACTAACTCTTACTCAGGGCCCTTCAGGGGAAGGAATTCATCATCACCCAGATATCAGGGAAATAGGAGATCCTCCTATAACTCTAAATCACGATTCCAACCCTACCAAAACAAACCTAAGCAGGGCGCCTCGCGGAAGCGCCTTTGATGACGGGGACCCTGTCGTTGAGAGCCCTTCAGCCAATTCCTCCGCAAACTTGAATGTTGAACCCGTTGAGGTCCAAATTGCCCCGGTTGTTAATG